GAGTTTTTTATACAATGTTGCCAATCCAATGACACCCACTGCAATAGGTCAATCACTCTTATTCACTATTTCACACTTTGACAATGGGTAAGATGTTAGATCGATTGATCGATCACATGAGTTTACAAGCAGTCTAACAGAATGTTGTAACTCGGTGAAATCGAATTTATTTTCTGAAGAAATATGGTTAGGTAAAATGACAGCACGAAGGTTACAAACGGATATACTTTCTGTATGTTCAACAATCTCTGTGCATAGGTTTGGTTTTATGATTGGTCCAATGTTACTTTGGTTAGATTTTTTATTGGTATTATCAATAAAGAACAAAAACGGTTCACCAGTATCATATTGCATTTTGATTATATCAAAAAATAACTTCTGTGCTTTAATCGTTTTCTTGCGTTTTAACTCTACCTCACAACAAATATATGCATCATTGAATTTCTGACCATATAATCTGTTTAGGTCATACCCTAGTGATATCTTTGCATCTATGGGTGAAAAGATAGTCCAATAATCATCATCTTGAACGCGTACCATAAATATATCTGGAATGGCAATACAGTGATTCAGATCTATTGTACATAACTCTGGTACCTGTGACTCATAGCGGATTTGTAAAAACTCTTCTACATCACGGTGCCAAATCGCTAGGTTTACTATAATCGCTCCCTTGTGTTTGTTACCTCCCTGGTCAACGTACTTGGCCGTTTCATTATAAACATGAAGCATTCTACATACACCGGAAGAATATCCACTAGATCCTTTAATATAATCACTATTTGCACGGATATCACTAACGTTGATTCCAATCCCACCACAATTCTTTGATATCAGGGCGATATCTTTTAAACTTTCATATATTCCTTCAATCGAATCTCCTTTTACTCTTGCAATAAAACAACTAGCAAGTGGATTGTTTTCCATGCAAGAGTTTGCACGTGTAGGTGTGGCCATACTTATCTTGTTAGAGACCATCATACGATAACATTCATTTAACTTTATGAAATCATCAGAGTATATTTGCAAAGCAATCCGTAATAACTCGTATTGTACACAGTCAATCTCTCTGTTTCCTATTTTCTTAAAAAACTTTCCTAGTTTCGTACATATTCCATATACCCATGATCGTATTCTCTGGTAAAATCGATAAGGGAATCAAAAAATTCTTTATTTTCAATGACAATATCACGATATCTTTTATCAAT